TTTTTTTTTTTTAAGAGATAGGGGTCTTACTATGTTGTTCAGGCTGGTCTCAAACTCCTGGCCTCAAGCAGTCTTCCCACCTTGGCCTCCCAAGTTGCTAGGATTACAGTGTGAGCTATCATCCCTGGCTCATACATTTGTTATGATAATCACCCTATCCAAAATCATCTCAGGAACGTGTTGAATTAGAACATAATGACTAATAGCTAAGATTTTGAAATATAAAAAAGTATTTTGGCTAAGTTACATGAAGCTTCTTGATCTCTGTTTCCAAAAGGCCAAATGTAGCTTTTTTCTCCTCCAATGACTTCTTAAGTTCAACAACCTTTGTTTCAAGGGCTTGTTTTTCTTCTGAATTAATTTCTCCCTTTAACCGTGACATTCTCCTCTCCATTTGTTGAATACAAAAATCCTGTTACATTTTTAAAAAGAGGTTAGTAAGGAGAAACAATTAAAAGCATTTCTTTAAATGTTAAAGCACAATGAATACTTTCAAACGAGTTTAGTCTGGGTATCATCATTTAGTAAAGTCACTTTAGTAGTTCAGTAATTCAGGATAAAATCCTTCCTACTCTGAGGGGAGCAAAACCAAATCAATCTTCTATAATCAGGGTGCATGATAGACACAGAAGTAATCTCCCTAAAATGTTATACCTCACTCAGGGGATGTTCATCACACTACCATGATGGAACCAGGGATCTCCATGGAGATAAATTCTTCAGTGTACATTTTCTAAGGGACGCAAAAAAGTTAATTACAAATTGCTAGCTATGAAAGGTTCAAATGTGAAGAATTTCTAATGAATTATTCTCAAAATTATACTTTAGCATCTGTAATTTTGAGAAACTAAGAACACATTAGATGAAAAAATAAAGATTTAAAGAGGGAGGACATGAAGAGATTAATAGGAATATATAAATAGAATAAAATAAGGAAAATCTAAAAAAAATGCTTTCACTCTATTGGTCTGCGGGGGGTCAGGGTAGCTATGTTTGTACAACTAAGAATCAACATAGTTTTTCTAGATTTCAGATGCCTCAGACCTTCTTTTGTTTTGCCCTGGGTTTAGTTGTCCCAGGTTCTTTTAAAGCATGGTTCTCCCTCACTAGATTCTCTCCTTCTGCCTTTTTATTAATTTCAGATTGAGAAAAAATAGCACTGAAGGCTCCACACTCTGTACATGACTTACACACAGATGTAACAGACAGATACCACCTTCGGCCTCTGTCCAGCCTTCAAAAGAGAACTTAGAAATCTTTGTTTCTCCGGGACATTGGGGTTCTTGACCATCACAACTATAACAAATCAGTATGGAAGATATTCACAAAATCAGACATCTACCTGGCTGTACATAATTTCTTGCTGCTTTAAAGTTTCAAAATCCAGTTTGTATAACTGATGGTTGAGATGTTTGAGAGAGGAACGGGTTCCTTCGACTTCTGATAAAACAGCCTTTTCTTTGATTATCTCAGCCTTTAACTCCTCAACTTTCTTAAAAAGCACATCTTTTACGAGTTTCAATTGAATGTCCACTTCCTGATAATAAGAATTATAGTGATTTGTGAAATTAAAATATTATAATATCTTGAAATCTTTTATTTGTGAGAATATTGTTATTTAGAGGCTCATAAACTGGAACCCCTCCATGCCACACCATTAAAACCCTTTTTCACAATTTCAACAAATCCCCAACATTTCTGGTACCCTACTGTGGTAGACTAGTAGTTTCCTATTCCTGTAGCAAACACCTTGATTCATCATCTTAATTCTATGTCATGTTACCCGAGCCTCCAAACTTGGCCACTCTACTGGCTTCTTCAAAAAATAAAATCTACCGAAGACAAGCAGCTCACAAGTGCACAAAGTTTACTGAAGTCTTGAGGGTACTACAGGGAAAAAAACACATGACCCCAGCTCCCACTCTCTGAGGCACTATGCAGTGGTGAGCAGGTAAATGTTTAACTATCATTTCTCCAGTGAATAGGGGTTTAGGGGGAGAATTTGATTCCCAAAGTATAAAGACTCTCACTATGGCCACCTCTCAAACTACTAAAAGGCAACATTCAGAAGAGATACAGAGAAGCACACCATTGTTTAATATTTCCAAAATACAGATATAACAGATGCAAGTAATCATAAGTAACCTGAAGAGCACAGAAAACAGTAAAATAATGTGTGAGATAAATGCTGGGAATTTATTACTTTTGTTGTAAATATAATTTATTTAATCATACGTATATGTGATTTTATTTTTAATAGTAGCTATGTTTAACAGCCAACTTACAAAATTTCTGAAGGTGTAACTATTGGCCCTGGTGTGCTGGCAGGCACTGGCCACAGCAACACTACTGGCGCTACCCATCATTAACACTTTGCCATCAGTTGGCCTCAGGCAATAGGAACAAGTCCCCCATTCCCCCTGCTCATCTGTCTCAAGGCAGACCTGTCATGACCTCCAGAGTTCACAGCCAACGTACTCATAGGCTTCAAATAGATCTACTGTGTCAAGAGCAACCAAAAGTTATCATTTCTAAATATTGAAATAATTAGCCTGTGTGTTCTTACACCCATATAAGCATATTTTCCCTTGGCAACCAATAAATAATATGAAACGAAACAAATATATGATTGGCACATTTAAATCTCCACAAATTAAGAAACTTATTATATGCAATACATTATTTTTTATATAATATTTAATTTTCATTGTCTTTAGAACTTCTCAGTAATTGCCAGGCAGAATTTTAAAGTCAATGCTTGGTGGTGAATAAACAATACATCTCCAAAAAAGATAAGGATGAAATTTTTTCAGACAAACATGTAAAAACCAATAGAATCAAACCCAAGACTATGAACATCCTTGCTAGCACATGATCAGTATACCTGTTGCCAATTTTAATTTTCCCTAACTCAGCTAATTTCTTCAAAAATGTCTGAAGTGTTTAATTCTCTTTGATCAAAAGATTCATATCATATGAATTTCAAAGTCTTTATAGGTTTCTAATATATTCTAATACTATCCCAACTTATATGCTATAAAAAATCATGCTCTTACAGAAAAAAAAAACACAACTTTTTAAAAATAATGTTATACAATTAAGACTCAAATACTTCTCAAATCAAGACCACAGCAAGACTTCCTTACTTGTAATGTTACAGCACATTCAGGAAAGTGGATTCCACCCACAGATGGGTTGAGCCACCTCATAAAACACTGGGGGATTTTGCTGCCATCTTCACAAAACCCCCTCCACACACACATACAGAAACAGTAAAAGCAAGATACAGGGTCAACAGTGTTTGGTCATGTAGGTCAGTTTGCAAATTTCAGTGAAGAAATAGTAAACTAGCCTTTCAAATTTCTAAAAAATTAGTTTTAACGTGACCAACATGCCTAAGAGAATTGAGTAGATGGAGATGCCAGTAGAGTTACGCAAGTGATAGAATTTTAAAGTCTATTTGTCAAAAAATGTTGCCAGATTGTAAGGAATTTAAAGTCTATTTATCAAAAAATGTTGCCAGATGATAAAGAAATAGAGAAAATGAATGTAGACAATTAAGGGGATTCCATCACAAACAGAAAAACAAAATAAACTGATAATGAAGTAGCAATCAGTTGTAAAACAAAGGCACTTCTCATGAAACGTATGCAATATATCAACAAATACATGGATGATGGAAGGGACGTGGATAAAATACGCTTTGGGAAGGAACGGAATCTGGATCACAGTGGAGGAGCTACCTTCTAAAAAAGGCACCAAAGTTGAATGCTGAAAGTGTGGCAAATGAAGAGTTAGTAGTTTAGGAAGAGAAGAGGAGAAGATTGTCTTCAGAAGCAATATATAAAAAGAGGTCCAGATTATAAACGTGATCATACCAAAAAGCAGAGCCTTTTACAAGATCTCCTAGTCCTCTGATCCCAAGAGTCTAATTAATTCACTATTGCTAAATTTTCTATGGTTTTAAGAAAAATTAAAATTAAACTTTACCTTTACAGATTTTTCTTCTTCCTTCAACATATCTTCCAAATTGGTAGCTTTCTCTTCAACAGACATGGTTTTCTCAGTTATCGTCTTTAATTTTTTTTTTGCATTAGTATTATGATCTTTAACTTTCTGTAACCTAAAGATGTATGAAGAAAAGATAGAAAACCGGCTTCAAATGTAATAAAAGGAACAGTTTATCTTAAGATTTCTTTATATAACTTGAAGAATTCTTTTGCAGTAAACCTTTTTATTACCACTATTTATTTATTTATTTTTAAATGTGAAATTTACTTTTTTACTTTAAAATATTACAGGTATACAAATGTTTTTTGGTTACATGTTATCAATTTTGTTATGCTTAAGTCAGGGTTACAAGTGTGTCCATCACTCATTAGGTAGGTTTTTGCCCATCCCCCCTCCCTCCTACCCATCAATATTGCTTGATTGACACCAAGTTTTACAGCCCTCTGTGCACTGTGCATTCATCGGTTAGTTCTCATTTACTAGCAACTCCACGTGCTGTTTGTTTCTATTCTTGAGATACTTCAACTTAGAATAATGGTTTCCAGTTTCATCCAAATTGTTGCAAAAGGCCTCAATTTATCCTTCTTCCTGGCTGCGCAGTATTCCACAGTATACATATACCACATTTTGTTAATCCACTCATGAACTCGTCGGCAATTGGGTTGATTCCACATGTTTGCAATTGTGAGGTGCGCTGCAGTAAACATTTGAGTGGAGGTATCTTTTTGATAAAATGAGTTCTTTTCCATTGGGTAGATACCCAGTAGTGGGATTGCTGGATCAAATGGTATGTCTACTTTTAGTTCTTTGAGAAATCCCCGTACTGACTTGCATAGAGGTTTTACTTATTTGCAGTCCCACCAACAGTGTATAAGCATTCCTCTTTCTCTCCATCTACGATTGCAACTATTGTTTTTGTACCTTTTAATAAAACCCATTCTAACAGGGGTATGGTTATGTCTACTTTTGGTTTTAATCCGTATTTCTCTGATAATCGAGCACTTTTCATGTGTTTATTGGACATTTGTCTATCTTCTTTTGAAAAGCTTCTGTTCATGTCTTTTGCCCACTTTTTATGCTTTTTCTTTTTTTTTTTGTAGAGACAGAGTCTCACTTTATCACCCTCGGTAGAGTGCCGTGGCATCACACTGCTCACAGCAACCTCCAACTCCTGGACTTAGGCAATGCTCTTGCCTCAGCCTCCTGAGTAGCTGGGACTACAGGTGCCCACCCACAATGCCTAGCTATTTTTTTGTTGCAGTTTGGCTAAGGCCAGGTTTGAACCCACCACGTTTGGTATATGGGGCTGGTGCCCTTACCCACTGAGCCACAAACGCCGCCCTTTTGCCCACTTTTTAATAGGGTTGTTTGCTTTTTCCTCTCTGATTTGCTGGAGTTCTTTATAGATACTGGTTATTAGCCCTTTACTGGATGTATAACTTGCAAACATTTTCTCTCAGTCTGTAGGTTATCTATTTGTTATACTGATTATTTCTGTAGCTATGTAGAAGCTTTTCAATTTAATCAATTCCCATTTATTTTTGTGTGTTGCTATGACTGTCTTTGTCCTTTTCATCCATTCTTTCCCTAGACCAATATCTAGAATTCAAGAGTTTTTCCAACATTTTATTCTAGAGCTCTTATGGTTTCATGCCTTAAGTCTTTTTTGAATTAAGTCTTTTTACTCATCTTGAATCAATGTTTGCGAGTGGTAAGAAACCGTTTAAGTGGATCCTGTTTCATTTTCCTGCATGTGGCCACCCAATTTTCCCAGCACCATTAATTGAGTAGGGCTTCTTTTCTTCAGTATATATTATTGTCTACTTTGCCAAAGACCAGTTAGCTATATATGGATGGTTTTATACCTGGGTTCTCTGTTCTGTTCTGTCTTTCTATTTCTCTATTTTTGTTCCAATACCATGCTGTTTTGGTCAGTATAGCCTTGTTGTATAGTTGGAAGTCTGGTAATGTATGCCTCCAGATTTGTTGTTTTTACTTAAGATTGCTTTGGCTATTCAGACTCTTTTCTGGTTCCCAACAAAGCATCGAATTATGTTTTCTAGATCTGTGAAATATGACTTTGGTATTTTTAAAATTTCAGATAATATATCATATAGATGATTAGATTACATTCTTTGCATTTGTTAGGTAAAGTCCAAATTGTAGTTGTGCCCCTCACCCAGGAGGTGTTACCACAAACCCTTAGATTGTGCCTATTAGGTGCCCTTATCCCCTATCCCTACTCCCTCCTACACCTTCCTTCTTGATCCTCCCCACAGATTTGTGCTTTTTTCTTGTGTGGGTATGTATTTGTTAATCTACTGGTTTCATATTAGTATCGAGTACATTGGATACTTGATTTTTCATTCTTGTGATACTTCACCAAGGAGAATGTTCTCCAACTCTATCCAGGTTAATACAAATAATATAAAATCTTCATCTTTTTATGGCTGAATAGTATTTCATGGTATACATATACCACAGTTTATTAATCCATTCATAGGCACATGGGTTGATTCTACATCTTGGTGATTGAGAACTGAGCCTCAATAAACATTCTAGTGCATGTGTCCTTATGATAAGATGATGGTTTTTTTCCCCTCTGGGATTGTGAGATCAAATGGAAGGTCTACTTTTAGTTCTTTGAGAATTCTCCCTATTTCTTTCCAAGGAGGCTGTATTAATTTACAATCCTACCAGCAGTGTAAAAGTGGTCTCTTCTCTGCACACCCTCGCCAGCATCTGCAGCTTTGGGACTTTGTGATGTGGGTTATTCTCAATGGGATTAGGTGATGTCTCAGGGTGACTGTGATTTGCATTTCTCTGATAATTCGGATGATTAGCATTTTTTCAAATTTTTTTGTCATTCATCTATCTTCTTTGGAGAAGGTTCTGTTCATATCTCTTACCCAGTGATAAATGAGATTGTTTGCCTTTTTCTTGTTGATTAATTTGAGTTCTCTGCAGATTCTTGTTATCAATCCTTTGGCAGATATGTAACATGCAAATCTTTTCCCATTCTGTAGGCTGTTTGCTTTAACTATCGTGTCCTTAGCTGTCTTAACTAAGTCTTATTTATTTATTTTTGGTGTTGCAATTGCTAATGGAGTCTTCTTCATAAAATTTTTCCTTTCCTTAGGCCAATATCATCAATTCATTTTGGAGTTCTACCTTTATTCCCCTGTGGTTTGAAAAGACACAAAGTACAATTTCTATTCTTTAATTTTACTGAAGTTGATTTGTGTCCTAGGATATTGTTGATCCATGAGCTGGCAAGAAGAACATATTCTCAATAGGTTTAGGATGGTATATTTTATATATGTCTACTAAGCCTAATTGTTCTAGGTCACATTTAACTCCCTTGTTTAGGCTGTTTAAAGGATCTGTCCAGTTTTGTCAGTGGGTTATTGAAGTCCCTAGGTATTATGATAATGTAGGATGTCATATTGTTCAGACCACTTAAGATTTGTTTCATAAATGTGGGGGCATTTAAGTTGGGTACATATATATTTCACATTGATGTGTCTCCTTCTTTTATTGTTCCCTTCACCAGTATGTAATGACCAGCTTTGTCTTTCTTTACTTTTGTTGCTTTAAATTCACTTTTATCTGGGAATAAAATTGTGACCCCTCCTTTCTTCTGATTTCCCATTTGCCTGAAATGTTTTTTTGTTTGTTTGTTTTTGTTTTTGGTTGGGGCTGAGTTTGAACACACCAGCACCCTACTCCTTCGAGTCACGGGGACCGCCCACCTGAAATATTTTTAACAGTCCTTCACTCTGAGTCTTGTTTTGTCCTTAGATGTTATGTGTGTTTCCTGACGACAACATATGGTTGGCTTCTGGTTTTTTTATCCAGTCAACCAGCCTGCTTCTTCAGTGGGGAATTCAAGCCATTCTCATTTATTGAAAGAACTGATCGACTTAGTGGAGTTCTTTTTATCACTTAGGCTATTGCAGAAGTTAGGCTTTGACCATTCATTTCCTGGTATCATTACTTTTGTGGTGGTCCACTGTGATGGTCTCTGTGTAATATGGATCTGAATACTTCCTGCAGAGCTAGTCTTATAGCAGCAATTTTCCTCAATGCTTGCTTCTCAGTAAAAGACCTGATGTCTACATTCAAAACTTAGTTTGGTAGGATACAGGATCCTAGAAGGAAGTTGTTTTGTTTGAGTAAATTGAAAGTCAAAGCCCAATCTTTTCTGGTTTGTAAAGTTTCAGCTGGGAAGTCCCCTCTCACCCTGATGGATCTTCTCCTATAGGTCAATTGGTGCTTACAGAATTTTCTTTCATTTTGACCTTGGCCAAGGTCTTTTTTTTTTTTGCAGTTTTGGCCGGGGGCTGGGTTTGAACCCACCACCTCTGGTATATGGAGCCGGCACCCTACTCCTTTGAGCCACAGGCACCATCCCCTGGGCCAAGTTCTTTACAATGTATCTAGGAGATGCTTTATTTGTATTCAGATTTTGTATTGTATTTTATTTGTATTGAGACAAACCAGGGTTCACTATCTATCTAAAAAGTGTGTGTCACTCTTCTTATCCTTCAAGGATACCTACAATTCCTATGTTTGGATACTTTGTGAAGTCCATAATTCTCTAAGAGATTTCTCCATTTTTCCTCTCTTCTTTTTTGCCTCTTTAAATGCTTACATTAGCTCCAGGGCATTCACCTCTAGCTCTGAGATTCTTTCTTCTCCATGGTTTAATCTATTATCGATACTTTCTACTGTATCTTTAATTTCTCTGAATGATTCCTTCAATTCCTTTAAGGGCCAATATATCCTTTCTGATTTCATCACGTCTTTCATTCATTTCTTGGGTCAATTTTTGGATTTCCTTTTGGTAGTTTTCCACTGTCCCTTCAATTCTCTTTATCATTTTTGCTATCCATACTCTAAATTCCCTTTTTGTCATTTCCATAATTTATGGAAATGACAGGATCCTCTGAAGTAGCTGCTTGTGATCCCTTGGTGGTGGTGGTGGAGGGGGGGTTTGATCTGCTCTGGTTTTTCATATTGCCAGAATTTTTTTGTTGGTTTCTCCTCTTATGTGCTTTCTTCTTGTTTACTTCCTTCCCTACTTTCTCCCTTCACTTCCTCCTCCTTCTTAAATTTCCCTGTCTCTGTGCTCGGGTGTTGGAATGGGCTTTTGGTACAGGGACAAAAGGAAGAGAAGAGATAAGAACAAAAAGGGAGAAAAGAAAGAAAAAGGAAAAATTCTTTAATTTTTTTTTAAAAGGATAAAAAAGGACAGAAGGAGAAAAATAGGAATGATAGTGGTGTTGGGCAGGATATTGTGACCAACATCTGTAATCCCATGATAATGGGGAGCCAGGGCAGGTGGGTCCCCTAAGATTAGGAGCTCCTTACTATTCTGAGCAAAAGCAAGATCCCACTTTTACCAAATACAGAAAAAAATCACTATGTGTCATGGCAGGGACCAGCCAATACAGTCTCTCAGAAGGCCAAAACTAGAGGGATGCCCTAACCTAGGGTTTTGAGGCCTCTGTCAGCCAGGCCAAGGCCATGGTACCTCAGCCCAGGCCTTAAAGCAAGACTCTGTCCCAGAAATAAAATACAGAACAAAATAGAACAACAAAATAATAATAATAAAACCAAAGGGGGAAAAAGCAAATATCTTGTGTGTTACTTAAGAGATTTACAAAGATGAGAAAAATTAAAAAAAATAAAATCACCACAAAAAGAGGAAAGAAAAAAGATATAAAAAGAAAAAATAGGAAGAAAATCAATAACAAATATGTAAACTTTGATACTGAAAAAGAAAGAAACAAGAAAAACAATTAACAATTTAAAAAATTATATATAAAATGCAATATATCACCTGGACACCAGGTGGCAATTTAAAAAGAATATAATGCAAGATATTTCCTGGACACTAGTTTGTCTCTGGGGTTAGGAAATGGAAAAAAAAAAAAAAAATCATGCTGCTTCTGTTAGTGTTGTGGGGCCAGGAAGTTGCTAGCTAGTTGCTATGGAGACCTGGTCTTATTTTCTGGTTTATTTGATTACAATCTGGGCGGTATTGCTGTGCAAGTGTTGAATCTCCATCAGATACAAAGTCATATCATCAGCACTCCCATATATTTCATGGGCCACAAAAATAGTGCTCCTGAGCCTTTGTGAAGATAAAACCAGAAGTTTTTTTATAGTTCAATAATATAGTAGCTATAATTTTATAGTCACTTAACAAAAAAAACTTAGGCACTTAGTAATTTTCTAGATATAGTAAAAAATCATAAATATATTTACATCACCTTTTTCTTACCTTGCTGTTTCTTCCTGAATGTCCTTCTTTATTTTGGAAATATTTCTCCTCAGAGATTCTAAATCACTAGATGTTCTATTCACAGTGGCTTTTAAAGAATCCAGCTATTCAACAGTTAACAGACATAAATTATATATTTATATATTTATTCTATATTACATAAATTAATTTCATTACTGAGAAGTTTAATTCTGCCCACTTTATGTTACAACCTACAATGCACCCATAAAAACAGTAACCATTTTTCTACAATTAATATGTACTAACAGATTCTCTTCCTGGTCTAGCATCAAATTTTAATTGTCTTTTTTGTATAATAAAGGCAAATTATAAAGACCTACACATTTGTGTTAAAAGAAAATGCAGAAATGACCAATATCACTGAACCTACTCAGACAGGACACATCCCAAGATTGAAGATAAAATAACCACATGCATAAAGTGTTGACATCAATCATAAGAAGTTTGAATAGATTTGAAAAATCCCCAGAGATTCTAATACATCAACCTCCTAACAAATGACACATATTTTGCTGTGAATATAAACTGTTAATTCCAGATTCAGATTTTCCCCTTCATTTATAACCTCTGCAAAAACCCTTACATCTCATGAGAAAACTATTAGGATAGACAAATTCAACAAAAATATTCAACATTATAGACCAAATAAATCAACATACAAAAACCAATTGTGTTTTCTACACTAACAACAAACTATCTGAAAAGTAAATCAAGAAAGCCATCCCATTAACAATAGCGTCAAAAGGCTTGGTGCTTGTGGCTCAAGTGGCTAAGGCGCCAACCACATACACCCAAGGTGGCGGGTTCAAATCCAGCCCAGGCCTGCCAAACAACAATGACGGCTGCAACAAAAAAATAGCCGGGTGTTGTGGTTGGGTGCCTGTGGTCCCAGCTACTTGGGAGGCAGGGGCAGGAGACTCACTTGAGCCCAGGAGTTGGAAGTTGCTGTGAGCTGTGATGCCACAGCACTCTACCCAGGGGGA